ATACCTAGATATATTACTTTATGTGATGAAAGCAATGTTTTTAAGTATGTCTACTGTAACAACAAATCATGTTGATAAAAATAATATTATAGATCAATATAAAGCTAAAGATGAACCACCTTTGGAGGATAATAAGGATCTAGTTGTTGAACTAAGACAATCCTATAAGGTTTGCAAGTCTTTTATTCTTGATAATTACATGGCGTATTTGCATGATTTTGATTCAGATGCTATTAATAGTTCAGACCCAATATCTTGCCAGGAGGCTATTTTTACATATGCATTCTTCTAAATGGTTGGAGGCTATGAGTGAAGAAATCATCTTTATACCACAATCATATATGGGAGCTTGTAGAGTTACCAAAGGGTTTTAAACAGTGGATTGCAAGTGGGTTTTCAAAATAAAATGAGGAGCTGTAAGTAAAATTAATATATACAAAACCAAACTTGTAGCTAAAAGCTACAACCAAAAACTAGGTATTGATTACACAAACACTTTCTCTTCGGTATCCACTAAAGATGCTTTTAAAGTTGTAATGGCTTTAGTCGCATAGTTTGAGCTTGATCTTCATTAGATGGATGTCAAGACTGCCTTCTTGATTGGTGATTTGTATGAAGAAGTCTACATGACCTAACTTGATAGTTTTATTGAATCTGATAAAGAACATCTAATATGAAGATTGAAAAGATTTATCTATGGGCTAAAACAAGCCTCTGGGAAATGGTATTTAAAGTTTAAGAAAGTTATCACTTCACTTCATTTTGTTGAGAATGTCTCAGATCAGTGTATCTATAAAAAATTCGATGAGAATAATTTTGCCATTCTTGTTCTCTATGTTAATGATATCTTATTGGCTAGTAATTTAATAGATTTCCTTAATGAGATAAAACACATATGAAGGATATGGGTAAAACCTCTTCATTCCTGGGATGCATATTCATCATGATAGATCTTGTGATGCTCTTGGTTTATCACAGACCACCTATATTGAGTGGGTACTTAAGAAATTTAGAATAGATTCATACTCTCCCTCACTTGTTCTTGTTTCGAAAGGTGAACTAGTGTCAAATTATAGCATCCCAAGGATGATAAGAAGAGGGTTGAGAAAGATGCCATACGCTTTTTGGCAACCTTATGTATGTTCTCAACCAAATATAACCTTTGTCATTGGAGTACTAGATCAATACTTAAATGATCTAGGTTTAGATCATTGAAAATCTGTTAAGAAATTTATGGGGCATCTTTAAGGTACAAAGAGGTATATGTTGACCTGTAAAAGGTTAAATTCTCTTGAGGTTGTTGAATATTTTAATTTTAATTTTAAAAGATTAGAAGATCTTGAGCTTTTTGGCTTTTTAAATTCAAATTTCGATCCCTATTTGGATGATTATGAGTCCATGACCAGCTACATTTTCATGATGTTTGGAGGAACTATTTCTTGGAAAAGTGTAAAGCATAATTGACAACAGTTTTATCTATAGAAGCTGAGTATATTGCTTATTTTAAGACTATATGTCAAGCTGTATGGCTGAGGGAGTTGATAACTAGCACGTGCTTAATTGAGTCAATATTACATCCTCTAACCATTTACTATGATAATAAGTCTACAGTATATTATGTTAATAACAACAAAAATTCAAGTTGTATAAAGCATTTTGATATTAAACTTATGTTTGTGAAAGAAAAAATTGCTGAATTTCAGACCCATGTGATACATATTCCTGGCACACAGATGCTTATAGATCTACTAACCAAGGGCTTACCTATAAAAGTTTTTTCAAAATCCTATAACTTGTATAGGTATTGTGAATTCCTTTAATGTCTCGGTTTAGCAGGAGTTTGAGAACTTTTATATTACATTTTCTCTTTAGGCTGTGTTTTTCTTATGTTCGGTTTAATTAAATATGTCTATGTCATTTGTATCCCTATAGGGTTTAATAATTATGCTGTGGTACACTATACACATCATCACTTGTTTTCACATGAAATCAATGATCTTATGTTGTTATCTTACTGAACTGTATTTGGAATAAAATTTTAAATTCTATCATATTCAGATTATGAGCCATTATATCACTTAATTTCCTATAGGATTTAGTGATTTTATGAAGTTTTATTTTTTGAATTTTGTTTATGACTTGTTCACACAAACTTGTCTAATTAATACAATCTAAATGAGAGATTGTTGAAATATTTATAAATACTATAAATTTGCATTAATCAATAAGCCCAGGCAGATTAATATTTATGAATTTATGCGGACCAGGATAGTGGAGTACATAAGTGAGCTTAATAAGCAAAGGCCCAACTTATAATTCTATAACCATCAGTTATTCCTTATCTCTTAACTAACTGAGTCAAGAACAATGTGAGATTAGATAATTAATTAATTAATTTATGAAGGCGGTTAATGGTCTAGTCCTTATAAGTTGATTTGTCAATAACTATAAACACACGATATACATTTTCTATTACTCTATTATCTCTGGACTCTTTACAAACTACGAAGGTTTAGTGGGTTATGTATTTGCTTATACTTGAAATAATCGAGGTATTACAATTAGTTATAGATTCTTTAGCTACGCACATTATTTTACTCAATCTCATTTGACTTGTATGAATTGAAATATTAAATCTAACATTATTTATATTAAATATGCTCAAAGATAATCCACTTTGTCAGAATAACTTAAAGCCATTTGATAAAATAATTCAAGTTTTATATATTTATGATCTAATTTATAATTTCTACGTGTGAGAATGTCTAATCGTATTGGATTTAATTTCATGTGCAATATTTTTTTATTATAAATGTATTTATTAGGTTTTTAAATTAAAAAAATTATATGAAAGCCAAAGGTCAAAAGTTTAGGCTTCAAAAACAATAACCCTATAATATTTTTGGGTTTTTTATGCCCAACTCTTTAAGGGTCGATCTTAATTCCCAAATCTGTGATAATCAAAATGTATTACATGGTGTAAATAAAATATGCATGTCCTATATTTGATGCAAATATATTTACTCTTGGTGATGCAAATATGTTTATTTTTTTTCTAAACATCAACACAACATAGTTTAAAGTTATTGCTCTCCTTTTATCTTTATCTTTTCTTTTGATAAAAAGAGGGAAAAAATAATAAGCCATCTCATTTGATGCGCGTGCAAATAAAATTTATTAAAATTAAAAATATTATATATTAATTTTTTCATTTGACTTGTGCATGTTCAAGACCAAAAAAGAAGGGACTTGTGTGTGTGTTTTTTAAGAAAAGATTGATATGGACTGTAAACAGGAGAGCACTGTCTACAGTTGGACGGGATTAAAGGGTGTCAGCTTTGTCTAGATTTTACTTTTTTTGACCAGCGAAAATGTTAACATACACACTATGGATAGATAGATAGACACACACAAATGGATTCAGTTTGTGTACTACCATGCTCCGTGGCTATGCTGCATTATTTTATAGGCTTTTTTTCTTTTTAAAACCACAAAAGTATAATAATAATAATAATAATAAATATTAAAAAATTATTATTATAACATTAAATAAGTAAATAAATTTAAATTATTGAAATTCGAGACAAACAATGTAGATATAAAATTTGATTTGAATAATCCAAAACTATAATGAAAAATTAGAACTGCAATTAAAATTTGAAAAAATTATGTATAGATTTTATTAAACAAACTTTTTTACTAGTCTTGCAAAAATCTAAAACCACATCTAAGTCTCCTAGAACTTAAATGTAATTTGAAATTAGACGGTAAAGATAATAACACTCCTATTAAATATATATTACATCAATCAACTAATTAATTTATAACTCTTTGATCAATAATTTATAATTTTAATTTTAATTTTTTATAACTATAATTTCACATATCCAATAGTTAAACAATCATATGTTATGAAAAATGTTTGTCATTAATTATTTACAACTACTTTATCATTAATCCACAACTTCAATTTCAATTTTTTACAAATGTAATTTCACATATTCAATAGTTAAACTGATCAATTTAATTATTAAATATATGAAGTTATATTTATAAAAAATTAAAGTTATAGTTGTACAATACTGATGAAGTAGTTGTAAATTATTTAAAATATTATTATTTTTTATCTCAATTTTAAATTACACTTAGGTCTCAAGGGATCTAGTTGTGATTTCTAAATTTCATAAGATATATTTATAAATAAGTTTGCTTAATGAGACCTATATGTAATTTTTTTTAAAATTTTATAATTTTATTGATGGCGCACAAGTGTCCATTTATTAGAGGATATCTTATTTGAGACAGGGCTGGGTATTGAATGCAGGCAACTTTGATAACGAGAATTCAAACTAGCTCATTTTATTAAATTTAACTTTTATTTTAAATTGCTCAAGCAATTTTTTTAATTCTTTTAATATAATGTTAAACTGTTTAAATCAAATTTTATTTCTAAACTATTAAGATCAAATTTAACAATTTAAATCTATTTAGTTATTTAATATAACAATAATAATATTATTATTATTATTATACTTATTTATTATTATAATAATAACTTGAAGTTTTTTTAGATATAACTCATATTATAAAATCAAATTAAGCAAACATTTAATATTTATTATATTTTATATTATGGCCAGTTTATTATATCTGTTAATAATATATTATTATATATCAATAATAAATTTATATAAATTTTTAAATTTTTAATAATAAATTCTTTATATATTAATAATAAATTTTTTATATGTCAACATAAATAGACTATACTTTTTAATTTTTAAAAATTTAATTTATATTATTTTTTGAGTATAATTTTTTTTATTAGTGGGCCATTTTATCCTAATAACTTTGTGGTTTTAGGGGGGAAAAAAAACCATGAAACGACGCACCACAACCGCCGAGCACGGTGGTGCTCGTCTGCGCCCCATACGAACGTGGTTAGCAACACTATCTACATTTTTATTGGCCAACGCAGATGTTATCCGTTTTCTCACGCTATGCGAACACTCACATCTTAACATGAAAGGCTACTGAATCGGAGTCAGAACCTAAACCAGTAAATCTACTGTGAGCGGCAGAGTGATCAAAATGGCTCTGTCATCGCAAGGCAGGGGTTCCGACAGCACTGAATTGAACCAAGAAATTCAAACTCGGTCGCTTCAAGAACGAGTCGCGATTGTTACTGGTTCGTCCCGCGGGATTGGTCGAGAGATTGCGCTTCATCTAGCTTCACTCGGTGCAAGAGTCGTCGTCAATTGCACCTCCAACGTGGCTCTTGCGGAATCAGTTGCCGCTCAGATTAATTCATCTTCCTCCAGTGGCGGTAATCCACGAGCCACGGTCATCAGGGCTGATGTTTCTGACCCGACTCAGGTGAAGTCTCTATTCGACGAGGCTGAAAAGGCCTTCAACTCACCGGTTCATATCCTGGTTAATTCGGCTGCAGTTATTGACAGCAAATACTCCTCTATAGCCAACATTTCCTTGGGGGACTTCGACCATATTTTCAGGCACGCTTTTCTTCTCATTCTACTTTCTCCTCAGTTCGTGAAATTGCAATAAAACATGAGATGTCTTTAATTATTCGTCGACCGTTCACTGAAGTAATGACTCCAACAATATATAATAGTGTCCATTGCCAAATTGTTGGCATGAATCAGAAGTTAGAACTGAAATGTAAGTCATTCACGGACAAAAGAAAATGCTTTTCAAGGTACTTTTGTTATGGGACTTAATTTCTAATTTATCTCAAAATTTTAGCACTTAGCCCTGAATAGCATTGAGAAGTGTTGATACATTATTGGTTTGTGGGTCTAGTATCATATTACGAGAGCATCCTAGCATTTTGTTTTCTTTTCACCTCCCCTTTCATTAGTTGTGAATACAAATGAGACAATTTTCCATCTCCAATCCTGTTGGCCTGTATATCAGTTTTGAATATAAAGCAAGAGAGCATAAATTAAATAGCGTAATCTCCTCATATAATATGTAATTCATGCACATTACAATAACAGAATATGTAGTTTTCGTTGTATATATAGACATGTATAAATCATTAAATGATGCTGGTTGATACATGCTGAAGGATTGTGGACTGTTTGTTTCACAGTGTGAACACAAGAGGGGCGTTTCTGTGCTGTAAGGAGGCAGCAAACCGTTTGAAACATGGGGGCGGAGGCCGAATTATAATGTTATCAACATCACTGGTGGGTTCATTGATGCCAGGTTATGGGGCGTACGCAGCATCCAAAGCAGCCGTAGAGACAGTGGTGAAGATTTTAGCAAAAGAGCTGAAGGGGACGGGAATCACGGCCAACTGTATTGCGCCTGGGCCTGTTGCAACAGACATGTTTTTCTCTGGGAAGACTCAAGAACAAGTGAAGGCGGCTATTGAAATATCTCCCCTGGGCAGGCTCGGCGAGACCAAGGATATAGCCCCTGTGGTGGGGTTCTTGGCCACTGACGCCGGTGAGTGGATCAATGGTCAGGTAATTCGTGTTAATGGTGGCTATGTTTAGGTTGATGAGCAATCTTCTATTAGACCAGGCGCAGGCCAGAAAATTTATTAGAGGGGTGATATGACAAAACATGTACGATAATTAAAAGAAAATTAAATTTATATATTTCACTAATATAATATAAATAATTTAAGGTATATATTGATATTCAATTTTACACACACACACATTTTAAGTTTTACTTGTTAATTTTTTATGGTATAAAAATAATTAATTATCATGCTTATGATAAAATTTTTAGAAATGTGCTTCTCAATATAAATTTTTAATTATCATGTCTAAGATTTTATCTTCTCCATAAGTATTGAATAATTTAAATACATAATTGAAATTTAAAGTTTGTTTCAATCTAAAAAACTCTATTATTTATATATTAAATTTGCTATTTAATTATTTTAATTGATAATTATAGTAAATAAATGCATTAACATGTTAATAATGCTCATTTGTTACAAACTCTTTATGTTGATGAGATCTAAGTATATCATGATAAAAATAATTTATATAATAAATTTCAATTTGATAGCTTGGTTATGATAGAAAAATGTAATTTTTTTTAGAACATATCTTAATCATAACCTCTTAAGTTTTGAATAAGCAATTTTATAATAGATACTAAGCATATAACATTCAATATATCTCGATGCAATGCTTGACAAAATTTATTAGTAATAATTCTCATAATTTTTTTATCAAATATAAAATGAAAACAAAAATTAAATGACATTAATGCTTGAAGAGCAACTGTAATATTATCTTGTTAAAAATAAATCGATCATATGACAATTATATTTGTAGACTACTGAAATAAGTAGACCATACAAACGTAAAAAATAAATATAGAATTGAAATGAAATTTTATCTAATATCTTAAAACTTCTATAATGTATCAATTTATGAGGGTCAAACATATATATCCTTTACATTTTATTAAGAAAAAATTTAAAAGTTAAGGGAGGTCATGGTTCTTGCTGGTCTCCCTACTATTTTCTCTATAATGAATTTATTCATTGCCTATACTAAAGTGATTGATTTTTTTACTAGAATTGTTTTTATTCATAACTTCACTTGATTTTATTTGTAGTGCTATTTTCATGGTAATAAGGATTGAGATGAATTTGGGATTGGCATGATAACAAAATCTCATCTTCAATCTAGTTAAAATTTCATTTACTCGTTCGCGACATGCATATCTGCCAATGATACCCAATTAAGCTAGACGTTTGTTGCTATATTCAAATGCTTCTTTATCCTTGACAAATTCTTTAAAAAGACATAAATGGCTATCAGACTGCTCGATTCTTTAATTGGGAATCTGTGCAAAATTTTTAACATGGAAATCTCAAATTCAAAGTTGTTAGCATTCGGAATCTTTCAGTGAAAGATCGGTCTCTATGAAAAAATGCAATTTGTAACTCTATTGCAACTCTAGAAACAAGTTAGCCAGCTTCAAACATGTAAAAAAGAGCATAGGTTAACGCCCCACCTGACCACACAATCCTTTCTCTCCCACACATTGTCCACGTCAACACTGCCAACGCCGCTCTTCATCGCTCAGTCCTCCACACCATGTCCAAATGGGGCTTTCAAGTCACCCAAACCTACAGCCTCTCTGAAACCTTCGACCCGTCCATTTTCTACGCCAGCAAACCAAAGTGGGACTCCCTCCCATTGGAAACCCGAGCTATGTGTGTTTGTGCTGTGTATGTTTTGCGGTTAATTGAATAAGATTTTTTTATTTAAAAGAGGATTAAATTTGTCATTTGCTCAACATTTTAATTTAATTTCACTCCTTTTAGTTTGTAGTGAAGTTTCAGACTTTAAAGGACTTTTGCTTTCATTATGCTTGATCTAGAGGTCTGAACTGAAATTTTCCCACACTATTAGCTATCTCTTTTATGTACGTGCATCCAAATTGAGTTTTTGACGTGCATTTGTGTATCGGTGAAGACAGTAAAGCGCGCCCACACCCCAAATTTTTGTATCTTGCGTTAATTATTTAATAAATTGATGACTTTGTTATTTAGCTATTATCTTATCCTAATATTAGTCAAATTGTCAGCAGACTAAATAATTCCTCTTCAACAAACCACGAGAGTCTTCAATTTTTGTCAAGAGAATGGTTCCATTTGCAATCTATTTGACGAATTCAATTCATCTTCGTATTAGTAGAGTGACTTGTGACGGACTTGGAATTCCTCTTTTTTAAATCTTGCTAACTTTAGCTTGATTACTCTCTTAAACTTAGTTAAGTTAGAGTTAGAGCACCTAAAACATAAGAGAGAGTAGAGAACTTGGAAGAGAAAATTTGCAAGTTTTATTACCTTATTTATTGGTTATAAATGAGAGGTTAGAGACTATTTATAGATCTTTTTTGTCTTTCAAAAGTTACTTATCTTCTTAATGAATAGTGGTAATCAATCCAATCTAATGGTTTATAATTTTTCTCTACAATATTTTATAATAATATCTGAGACATTATTTTAGATATTTATAAAGACATTTTTAAGATTAATTTTAATATACGTTTGAAACATTTTAGAATATTTTAAAGTATTTTAAACATCTAAACATTCTTCTATAAATTTTTATAATTTTATGGATATTTCTAGATCCTTACACATTACTCTAGATATTTTTAGATTATTCCAAATGTTTTTATAACATTTCGAAACATATCAAATTTTTTTTCTTTTTGAATATCTTGAATTCTCTACATCATTGTGAAAGTTTCTGAAAACATCTTAACCTTATAAGTTTTTCTCTTTCTAAATACACAGGTTGTGACAATATGTTATAGCTTGACTTGTTTGATTAATAGGCTCCCTCCCCTCCCTCCCTCCCTCCCTCCCTCTCTCTCTTACTCCTATTAAATACCCTACAATAAATATAAAGTCATAATCAAAAAGGGCACTTTTGAAAAAAAAATAATGATTACACCTCAAAAGACTAAAATGTCTTACATTTTTTAATGTTTAACTTTTCAAAAAATATCTTATATTTTTTAATGGATGGAGTATTGAAGAAAGGATTAAAAAATGATACAGGAGATAAAAAAATTAACAAATAATGCAGGTTAAGAAAAAAAAAAATGTAAAACAGTGGGTTAAAAATATCAGCAAACGAACAAGTAAATATAAGTAAAATATGAAATTTATAACAACAGGTTAAGTTTACGATTGATTAATTTACTAATTATTAACTAAAAATGTCCATCGTCCCCATCGTAACATCTTATAAGAAAACTAGAGGGCAGACTTGTCAATTCAAATGGACAGCAATACTCCCAAAGGAGTCTGGCAACTGGCAACGGCGGATATTCCGTGGAGGTGGAGCAAATACATTTGCCAATTTTATTTTCCTTCTTCCGATTAATTAATCCACAGAGGCTAGAAAAGTTAGAAAAAGAAAGGTACAAATTTGTGAATTGAACGGTCAAGAAGAGCAAAGGGGATGGCGCAGTTTACAACTCACGGTCGCTTAAAGACGCCGTTTAATGGTGAGGGATTCTCAGTTCCTTTGGAGCAGAAGGACCCGTTTCACTTCAAGTTCAGATCGATTCAGAGCCGCGAGCTGAAGGTTAGGCGTATAAGTTCTTTTTCATTATACCCGAGTAGGAAAAGGAACCGTTGCAATGCGGAGGCACTCGCCGGTCCCACTTCTAGCAATGGCAGTGTTCATGATGATGATTATCCTGATCATGATGATTACGAGTTTGAGAACGATAGCTTAGTTTCTTTCAGAGGCCTGGTGTTGGATGTATCGTACAGGTCACTTCTTCAATATTTACTTTATTGTCTACTTTTCTGCATATCGATAATCTAAATTTCTGAAACAACATTGTTTTAAGAATACCAGTGATTAGAAAGGGCTACATTATTATCTTATTTTCCTGTCTTTGACAGGCTCTGGGAAATATCATTTGGTTTTTCTGGTTCCTGGGTTCAACTGATTTTTGCCATACTGTGAAGTAATTTATTTACTATGGACCTTATCAATAATTTTTCCCCCTGAGGTGATCTTGTGGTTGTTATACAGAACTTTATGAAGATTGTGCTGAGCTTAACATTGTACAAATTATATGCTTAAATTAGTTACATTAAGAACAATACGGAAAATTCTCTCTCTTCTATAAAATTCTTATGCCAAACTTGGGCAATCATGGTGGGTTTTAAAATTATTGTGCGGTTATGTCTTACTAATTGTTTTAATGTATTCATTTGGATGAAATGCCATATATCCTTATTGTTCCCTGAATTTACATAAACATAACAGTGCAACTCACTTTAAACTTTGTACAACGCACGGGGCCCACTGTCCGGTGCAGATAATGTGAAGTTTGTAACGTAAGATTTTTTCTCTTGTATAGTGAAGAGACACGATCAGTTGTTTGCTAATGGTTCTGATTGCTGTCATCATGCTTCAGGCCAGTTAATGTTGTAGGCTGGAAACGTGCTATATGTTTGGAGTTTATGGAGAAGGTCGGATCTTTCAGCTCAACTTTTCTTTAAGTTTATTATTGTAAAACTTTGATTATGTTATTTATGTTGTTTATTACTTCAAAACAGACATGAGATTATGTGAAGTTAAGGACGCCTAGTTTATCACTAAGGATTATACTGTAGCTTATTATCATGTGAATTAGCTGTCTAAATTTATTAGCGGGGAGTGCTGGAAGCTATTTTCTTAAAACTCATTGCATATGATTTCCATTTATAAGTGAAGTATATTTCTGAATTCTCATACGTAGCTTCACTTTGATTGGATTATATTAGATGTATGCTCTATATCTGCTTCAATTCCCTGGTGATAATGTTCATTGCTCATGTATGCAAGTGCAGGCACACATTCACAACAACCCTTTTTGTCTGTTTATCCCTTTTAAACAGATACTGAATACATTCTTATTTTGTTTCAAATTTGAAATGTTGCTTTATCCAGGCTGATGTACTTGAGTATTATGATCAGACTGTGAACTCCCCAAGTGGATCTTTCTTTATACCAGCCGTCTTAAGGGTATGACCTTAGTAATGGCTGTTGGTTTTTAAGTTTTCTAACCCTTTGTATAACTCTAGTAATAGCCTAATAGCATTGTTCCTTCGTCAGCAATTTATAGCTACCAATTTCTCCACAATTGGGTTAAAACATTCTCTTGCGATTTCGCTTCTACAAACAGATTAGCTGATCTTATACTTGTTTTGGAACAGGTTCCTAATCTACTCCAGGTTGTCAAAAGAAGAGTTGTCAAAAGCAATCTTAATAAGAAGAATATACTATATCGGGACTACTACACTTGTCAGTAAGTATTCTGTTTTAAATTTGATTTCTAATGGATCTAATGGCATTTAGTTCAGCCATTCAACATAAAATCCAAAGGGAAGGAAAAAAGGGCAACAAAATGGAGTTCATTGATGTATTTGGGTTCTCCATTCCCCCTTTACTTAAAAGTTAACATTGCATATCTACCATTGTGTCGATCCTTTGCAAAAGTAATGGTCTGGGTTCACAACATGAATATTGTTCTCTTCCTTAGCATTTTACTAAAGAAAAGGAGATATAATGATTGTGGTACCATCCTTTGACTTGTAACATTCGCTTCAGGTACACTACAAAAAAATCTTTAGCTAAGTCAGGAGACCAAATTTTTATAGTGCTTAAAATTTGCCACACCCAAAACTTGTATGAATCCATTGCTTCATCAATTGAGAATTGTTTAACATGGAAGTAGCAGCTCATTGGACCCTTCTCAATAATTTCATGGTTATGGAGCAATGTTCAGGCTGTAGAAGGGTTTCTCTATTGATATCAATTTTCAAGGGATTAGGTTTATCCTCATGTAAACCTTGCATTATGCTGATATGAGATTCCCTTACTCAACAGGTATTGCTCTTCACGTGAGAATTTGACCATTGACCATGTTGTGCCCGCTTCACTGGGTGGAGAATGGAAATGGGAAAATCTAGTAAGACTATCAGCTCAATGTGCATGTATACATTTTTCCTCATATGTATGCATGTATAAATGTTTTATGTTACTCATCTTTTTTTTTTCCCCATGAAAAAGGGAAGGATATTATCCTGGAACTGAGGAGTTGAGTTGAGTTTTTTGGGGGGTTCATTTGTATGTCCAATATTTGTTGTCAAAGAAACCTTGCGGATTTGATATTTGCAAAAGAGAAACACTGCTTCAGAAATGCCATATCTATGGTACTTAGACTTGACACCAAGTGGACATAAAAGACTAAAGAAGACTGATCAATATAAGTAGAGGAAGAAAGCTTATAGGATATGACTAGATGCATCTCTATCTTCCAAAGGAACTGAACCTGAACTTCAAGAAAGCACAAAATTGGAAATTACTTTAAGCAGGTATAGTGCTAGAATTCTAGGATAAATTTAAAATCCAGTGAACTTTTCATTTCTCATCAGTGCATGTCATCAAGAGAAGGAACAAAAACTTCTTTACTAATGAGTTTTTGCATTTGTTTCTTCATTTTCTTCTTGCTAAAATCTTGATTGAATGTAGAGGATGGAAGGGCGTGACTGGGACCTCAAGTCCTAAAGCCCATATCTTACGTATTGCCTCTTTATCATGTTAATACCTTTCACTTGACAGGTTACTGCTTGTGCCAAATGCAACTCGAGGAAAGGTCAAAAAACTTTGGAGGAAGCAAAAATGAAGCTGATTAAGGCTCCCAAGGTATTGTTTAAGTCATGTAAATTTTAATTGAAGGATAGTTTTTACCTCAAGAGATTCCAGGGATTGCCTACTAAAAAACTGAGGGATCCAATATTTTACTTTTACACCATTAAGAAGTTATTCTTGTTACTCAGGCACCAAGGACTATGACATACATGCCATACCCCTAACCAGTGCAGCACTAAGAATGTTGACGGTAAGAAAGGGAACACCTGAAGCATGGCTTCAGTATCTATCAAGGTCGTTTTAAGAACCAATCACTTGCCCCTAGTATGTCGTGCACAGCAAATTTATCCTGCGCCATCAGGGAAGAAAGATAATTTAGGCTAACTTAAAATATTCATTGTAATGAGTGCTCTCGCATTTCTTGTATTGTGTAAAATGCATGGATAATAATTTCATGCGCACTGTTGTAATATACTAAACTGATGCACGAGACCGATAAATTGAAGTCTTTCCACTTCAAGTTGGATTTATTATTCCCCCTTTCCTATCATGTTGCTTGACTCTTGGGTTATTTACCTTCCTTTGAGGTTTCCTTGTGCTTCATCATTGTTACACCTATTCATGTTCATTAGATGAGAACAGTTTTGGTTGCTACCCGCTGTTACATACAGCAGTTAAGCATAGTCACCTTGTAACTCATGCAATGTTTTGCCGGTTGCCAGTGTTCATGCATACATATATGCTGCTTATCTTGTTTCTACACTTTTGAGCCTTCAGGCGTTGTTACTTTGGTGGGCATTTCTATGCGCAATTCCGCTTATACCCTTTTGGGGCACGATCCTCAAGTCACGATGCTTGGGTGATTCCATACAATGATTGGTCTTTATCGTGAAACCTCAGAGTGATAATATTTTGTTCCTTCAGAAAGATAGGTGATCCTATATATGATTTTGATCACACTTGAAAACTCGTCGACTCATGCCTAAAATGCTTCGAGTATATAACACTTTCAATAACTAAATCTCGTACGTTTAAAATATGAGATCTTGTACCTAACCGGTAACATGTTCGCATCCATTCATGCTTAGTGGATTCAGATTATCTTAGCATTAGGAGCTCATGTTTGTGATTAATCCTTCTCGAGAAAATATCCAGGCACCTAGCCTTCTGGATGAATTGACGTTTGTCGGGTCTCTACCATGATTCTTCTATTAAAGTGTCAGCATAAATGTCATAAATCTGACGTATGACTGCGGAGGTAAGAGGAATTTGTATGTCATCTGTTATCTTGACGGATAACGTTCTAGTAATTAATCTTTGTTATTTTTTTGCAGGGAAAAAAATAAAAATACATATTTAACTTTGATAATCTGACATGCCAAGGTAGCCTTAGCTTAAACCCTGAATTGTTGAGCTGTTGAGTTGTTAACCATTGAGATGGAAACATCATACAGTTGGAAGATGAAAAGGTAGAGAAGGAAGGGGAGGGGGTTTTTTCCTTTTTTTTCCCTCCACTTTTTCTATCTTCACCATTTATTATCATTTTATTAAATATTTTTTTAAATTATAGAATTAATGAAGGGTGAAATATAGGAAAATAACAGAAAAATGAGAGAAAGAAAAGGAGAGACTCCTCTCCCAAGAAAGAAGTGAAGGAGATGGCAAGTGACTAGATGAGTCCATCTTAATTCCAATATGCATCCCAATGGGTGAGGGGAGGTTCTCTTTTTCCCCACTGTAGTTTATCTATATGTATATGCTCTCATTGCACTGGTCATGCCTCATCTTTTGAAATTATTGCTTGCAGACTCCTTCACAAAGTAACTTTTACAATGAGTCCTCTTTGACGCCCCTCTTCAATCGTACAGTTATTATGAGCCCTCGTCCAGGTCCTACTCCCACCGGAGCCGGGGAACAGAGCTCCCTTCATAATTCACTTGTGCCCCTCTCAGTTCAGGGCTGGATATGTATAGCTTCAACTTAATGAGAGAGAAAATGGGAAAACAAAACCTAAGTCAAAGCATGATTGCTCGTATCTTTACAGCATAACAACGACTAAAGCTTGAGGTAGATGTAGCACGTCTGTGCGTCGTCGCTTACAGGCACAGAAACTCAGGTTCGTTCTATTTGTTTTCAAGAGCCTAGGCTAAAATCCTTAAGGGTTGAAGTGAGTGGCAGGGATAAAGTTTTAAAGTTGTTATGAGTCTCATAATTTTGGTTGATGCATACTTGATAGGGGACAAGACCCTTTGATTTGGACCTCATAACATGGGAGGTTGTGGATGAAATTGGACCAGCAGAACCAGAATGCCATGGAAGTGAGGACAAAGTTCTGCAGAAGTGGAAGAGGCATTTGGATATGAGGCGTGAGTAACTTGGTTCTGTCCTTTGAAAATGCTTCTTTCATTATCATTCATTTTCAATTAATTACTCATCTAACAACTGACCCACCCTAGCTTCATCATGCACATACATATCCCTGGTCCATTTACCTTCTGTTTTAATTCTCTACCTGTCACGCCATCACAAATCCTTATCATAGAGCAGCTTTGGAACTCATTTGCTCTCCAATTCAACATTCATTCCTGATCCTTCAATGAGCTTTGCCAAATCAGAAAAATTTGAACTTACCAATGTGGTTTGATGACATTCTCCTACGGAAAAGTCTTCTGGACTTTTCAGACACCTCTTCCGACTTCAAAATTCATTGGTACTTTCGGCGGTTATATTATATTATTATAAAGAGGATATGTTGATTTATAATAGAGAAAAATATTTTTTAAATTAATTGGCTAAATTACTCCTATACCCCATCGGTACTTTTTCAAAACTGGAACATCACATAGAAAAGGTAATTTAATTAAAAAGGTAACTTATCATTAAATGCCTAAAATTACAGTTGGATGTAAATGGCTTAAAGTTCTCAAATATAAATATAAATATAAATATATGTTGAAAGATAAATTCTGCACTTTTTCACATGAGAAACATTAACAGCAACTGTCATCCTTTCCTTTTGAACGACCCTCATTGAATTTCTTTCAAATGCAATTATTATTCAAAATTTTCAAAAGAAAATAATGAAAAGTAAAAATATAGAAGTCAATTAATCATATAATACCAAGTCTTCCTGGAAAATCACATAAATTTTTTTAGTTCACTTCAACTATTTCAAGATGGAATAGCCAATAACCTCAATGTGATGCAGTTAGCTGGAACTGGTAACACAAGATATGCTGAACCTAGATCATAAAAGAGTAGGCCAGTAATTATAATAATTTGTGTTAAAACGGGAAGAGAACCTTTAAAAGGTGGGCTCTCTATTTTCTGGTAAAGCATGAGTAGATTTCCAAATGGCGAAAGCAACTAAGCATACAGCACCAGCACCAGTGATTAACATGTCTCTCTTACCGTATAACACTTGCCTTTTGGACCACAATTTTACCATCGAGTGCATCTTACAATTCTTACAGAGAATCTAAACTGAATTCCCTCTGCTACCAACAGTTCTGCTGTCCGAGACTCTTCCAATGCATCTTTTGAGATTTTTTTTTTAATTTTTTCCTTCTGCAAAAGAAGAAAAGGATTAAAAAGAAGAGGTGAATAAGTTATCAGTCCTTGGTTAGCAGTCTGGGTCAAGGGGCGTTTGTAATTACACTACTTACTGCTTGCGCTATCCTTCAACTACCCCATTTACCCCGATGTAGAAGGGCAAGAGTCCTATTAATTAATAACTTGCACCTTCTTTCTCTCATTAGGGACAAAAATGGTAGTCAATTCTATTTATAATTTGCCATGGGAAGAAGTAAACAAGGGGTAAACAGTTACAATACCGAGTATAGCTGAAATGGAGAGGGTATATATTAATGGGGTGATTGTTTGTGTTTACACGAAATAGAGATGTCTGCTTTCTAAATGACTTGGTAAATTTGATTTGTTTTATTTCGCTTTTTATCTGCCGACAAAAAACAAGCGAGGGACATAAAGGGAGCACTGAGACAGGTTTTGTGACTTGTGAGTTGTGACGCCTATTTTGGCTTTCTTTTTCTTCCTCTCGTTTCTGCTGTCAGTGGCCATGGACGTGTGCCGGAATGTATCAGTTTCCGGTGAGTGCAAGCAAGAGCAGGTTCTTTCCCCTTGTTCGAAGCTTTCTACCTTCTCAACCAGCCTCGATGACCTCTTCTCTGCTCAGAACACGGTCAGTCGATATCTCCCCTGTTATATGTTGGCTTCTTCATTATTCCTTCATCTCTTTCTGCTTCTGATCCTGTTCTCCATCAAATTCCGTGGCCTACTGGTTCTTTTTGAGTTTTATCATCTGGGTTTTTGTGGCCGGGCTTTCCCTTTTTGGTGTAGTGATAGTTTTGAACTAGCAATAAAGGGGTTGTTTTTAATTGGTGGTTAAGCCTTGCTAACTTTGTGGGTTTGATACTTTGTCACTTGCGCTCTGTTTCTTCTGTTTGCTAGTCCATTACCAAATGTTCACTTATATCTATCCATGTACTGCTTATCTGCATCATGGTTCTTACTGAAGTAATCATTTTTATTTTATGCTGAATGAATGTGCATATATGTATGCAGGAGGTGGATGTCGGATTGGAGTGGCTGTCAGTATTTGTGGAGGACTGCTTTTCCAGCCAAGCAAGCTGCCTCTTGGCACCTCCTTATGTTCATCAACCCACAACCACAGCCTCCAAAGCTTCAAAACCATTGCAGAGACCCCACCAGAATCAGTCTTCTCTGCAGAATTTTGCGGTGCCCGGAAAAGCCAGAAGCAAAAGGAAGAGGCTCTCAGCCCCGAGAGCCAAAGACCCTTTAAGCATCTGGTCACACCATTTAAACCCACAAAACGAAGCCATAAGCTCAGACCCTCCTCTTCTCAAACAGGCATACTGGCTAGCAGACAGTGAACTCATCTTCCCCAACAAGAAAGAAAAGGAAGAAGAAAGCAAAGAGGGGGAAGCAGAAGCAGGAGAAGAAGAGGAGGCTGAGAAGGGGATGGCGAGGAAGGAATTGGAGAGTGAGGTCAGCAATGGGCAAAATCCAATGCCAAGGAGGTGCAGTCACTGCTTGGCACAGAGGACCCCACAGTGGAGGGCAGGACCATTGGGTCCAAAGACACTATGCAATGCATGTGGGGTGAGGTACAAGTCTGGTAGGTTGTTGCCAGAGTACAGGCCAGCCAAGAGTCCAACTTTTGTGAGCTACCTGCACTCCAATTCCCACAAGAAAGTCATGGAGATGAGGATGTCTCTTGTTTCTTCTTCTTCTTCTTCTTCTTCTTCTTCCTTTCCCGGGGAGCACCAGTGATTACCCCATGTAAATCAAACTCAGCAAGTTTAGGGGACAAAATATATTTTAGAAACAGAGAGGTTACTCGGGGAAGGGGCTGTTGGGTTAGTCCTAGGATTACAGACTTCTATACATATTGATTAGTAGTATCCGTTTTCTGATTTTTATTTCATCTTGTTCTCCTCAGAGCTAATATGCAATGCATTCCCCAGTAGTACCTATTCTTATTCTCAGTACAAGAATGTCTTGTCATGAGTTGGGATAGCTCCAACTCGGGTTCTCCCTCACTCTCTCTCTCTCTCTCTCTCTCTCTCTCTCTGTGGTATGCCATTACCCAGTAGCTGCCTAGTGATTTTCCAATTCTGGGCATTTAATTCCTCGACGAGGGTAAAACCAGTGAGGGCATGCCTGACATTGAAGAATCTAGGATGTCTGGTAGCCTTCTGATTGTATTATAGTTTTCCATTTTCCTTTGAACTTTATTTTCCCTTTTAAAATATAACGCCGCGGATTTGGCTTCGCTCGGTATCGTATGCCATGTATGGCTGTCATTATAAGCAAAGCATGTGGAGTGTGGGGCGTTATTTGAATTTGGCAGTTGGCATGCACTACCGCAGAGAAGATAAGATAATGCATTTGCATATGGCATGTGCAAGTGCACGTGATTTTCAAATTCTTAAGAATGAACACTTGAAAAAAAGAAAACGTAAAGGTGGGAAATATATTCAAAAGAGACTCGTCCTTGTTTTCGTAAAAGTCCTTAAATACAGAGAGAGAAAGAGACTCTAGTCCTTGTTTGTTTCTGTCGCCGTGCCTTCTACGACCCTTTTTTTTCTTTTCACTTCTAATTTTATTTTATTTTTAACCTAGAGTACTATTTACTTGAATCTCTCGCTTTTCTGGGACAATGGCTTCTGCTTGCTTTGACAGAATGCCTCCTCCTGCGTCTCTCTGTTCTGAATGCTGATTTAACATGGGATGCATCATGCATTTCCAACTTCACATGTTACGATAAAAGAAAAATTATTTGTTTATCTAGCTTTTATTTTAGCCCGTAGTAGTATTATTGTATTTCCATAGTGATAAAATAATATGAAATATATTATCATTCGTAGCGACAGACACACAAGTTGCGTGACCTTAGAGGATGTGGAAGGTAAAAGTGTAAAGGAGAGGCAACGATTAGTGGTAATGAAATACTGTGAAGCCTATTGACGACTATTTTGGATCTGGGGACAACACTAATACGCCGCAGATCGATGCAAGCATGCAGCACCGTATCTTTTTTCTTTTACTTTCTATCAAATTTTTTTTTTTTTAAGATTTCGGTCGCATCACTTCATCATTCATATTCTATGCTTAGATTCTGCTCAAATACTACGGTGTTAGAGAGAGAGAGAGATTTCAAATGAAGAAGCTTGATTTGCTTCAACTCGACTGAATTCATAATACCTTGGTATTTTAACATGAATGATCATTGGATTATTTAAGAATCATACTCAATGTAATATTAAAAAAAAAACTCTAGGAACAGTGCATCTCAATCTTTTTAACTTTATGTAGCCCATAATATAATAGGCATAGTAATGAAGCATAATTAGAGGGGATTAAAGAATGTGAAGACTAATGAAAGGTCATCATGGAGGTGGCACGTGATTCGGCAAAAGGGTAAAGGACAAGGTAGGAGGTGCAGATTACTAGCATTTAAAAATGATATCTGCCTAGAAATGAAATTCCCCCACTAATGTGAAATTTGAGAATTTGAAAATGGGGGAGTAGGTTAATCAAAGGATGGAAAATTAATATTTTTTGTTGTTGGAGGGGTATATTTAATAAGAGGTGGGGCAGAAATCAAAATTCAATTTCTGGGGTGCTCAGATTTGAAGTTCCCTCCCACCAATTTTGAAGGACACAGATTCTTGATTCTCATTTCTCAGAATAAGGGCATCCATCATCCACCCTGTATGTGTACATTTTCAAATTTAATTCAAATATTGCGGCATCTTTTACGTCAATCATCACCAATCAATGAAAGTCGTGAGGCCTGCTTCCAACTCATCCCCAAATTACCTTTTATCCCATCTTTTTCAAAATACAACTCTTTTATCTTTTGTCTTGGAATATTAGGATGTTAGTAGTTGGTAACCCTATATTTTATATAAATGATGTGTCACAAAGTGTTAGTGGTCAGGAGATAGTTGTATCGTACCTCTCAAGAGAAAAATTAACAAAAGTTCTTACCTCATTGTTTTTATCTCCAAGTGATTTTGAAGTTTATCCTTCAAGTAAAGGATAATGTTATTGCAATGTTCAATCATCATCATCATCATCATCTCTTTAAATGTTCATTTTATTCTCTCTATTCAATTCTTTACTTAACATTTTGTTTGGATAAGAATGCATGATGTCTTAACGTGAATCATTGCTGGCCAATACTTGTAACGTAAAATTTTAAGTCTTGCCATTCTTGCAGCTCATTTCGTTGTTGAACTCATATCGCTGATTTATCCTTTCTGGATTATAACACTAATCTTTTGTTTGGATTTTTTAAGAAGGAAAAATGGTCTTGTATATTTTTACCATTAAATTCCTAACAATGAATACCTGATTTAACAGAAGATCGTTACAATTACTTATGAAAATCATATTTACGATGTTATTGTTGAAGAGTTACGCTTTTTTTTTTTTTTTTTGAACGATGAAGAGTTACGCATTTGTGATAGACAGTATGCATATAAAAATATGCATAACTTTTTCGCATATTTTTCACAAATGGTCGGCCACAGACCAAGAAAGAGGTGGGTTATTTTTAAAAAGTGAAAATTGAAAGGTGGGCTATTTTGTTTTAGCATTCAAGGCATTATTCGGCCCAAAGTCCAATTGAATGGGCCTTAGGGTGAAACTTCTCTTGCTTAACCAAACGCATTCCTATTGTGTTGTCGTCTATCAGCCCAATACGAACAGAGGGCTTTCATGCCGCAGAACAAGTGAATAAATTGAAATGATGCCATCAAGTTTGCTTTGTGAAGCCCAATGGAAGGGAAATTGGGATTGTAAATTAAAGCATTAATTCTGAGAGGCCATGAGTTATTTCATCTGAAAGACTTCAAATCCAAGAATTTCTTATCAAATCAACCTGTGAAACAATAATCATTTAGACTATCTTAGCTCAATAACTGAGAAAATGCAAATAAACAATAGCATTTCCAATATATGTGTAAGAAAAATCTAAAAAGATAGACTCAGGGACCGTGAAATTAAAGCGCCAGCTATTGTCATTTACGATTTAAACTATTCTCAGCAAACCCAAAATAGTAAACCAAATACCCGACATCAACATACATATTGAAATGCAGTCGAGAATGAGAAGAAAAATTTCTAGACGTGTAAAAATTCATGTTCTCTGCATATGGCAGCCTCCCAAAATATGATTTAAACATATTTCTTAGTATGATCATGCTTTGAGAGTCAATCCAATTTATCCCATCCCATGATTCTCCGCCACAATACATTTCCCTTCATTCACGTACAAAATTACTGCAAGAAATGTCATGATCATAGGTCAACCACATCAATCAAAGGGCCAAATTTAGAGGATCTGGATCTTAAGTGACTTGAGAATGTTGGGCGAGAAAAAATCAAAAGGATTTAGGATAAATAAACAAGTTGGGAAGCATCAATCCCCACAGGACAAAAGTTCATGAACCGTACGATATTCAAATCTGGAAATTTCTTATTAAATGAATCTGCAAGCCAAGAATCATTCACACTATCTCAGTACAATAACTGATATAATTTAAATAAACAATAGCATCTCTGACGTATATACCAAAAAAAAAAACAAAAAAAGGAGTCTACAAAAATAGAATCACTGATAGTGTGATCAAAACGCAAACCACTAGCGAGGACCTCAAAGAAGGGGACGATGAAGGAGCAATCTGAATAATAAAATTGCAGTTCCCCTGTGAAAGATTCTGGTTAGTAAGCTTGGCCAGCCCTTGAAAATTACAGGCCATGTCATCCTGATTCTGCACTTGATAGTACATGTTAAACGCGTATGAGGCATTCCCATTAGCATCTAAATTGTTGCAGGAAGATCCATACCCAAGTGCAGTGCAGTCTCCGAAAGTACAAGCATAATTTATATTATCTGCGAGTTTGCTGAGATCTTTAGCGTCAGGATTAAACATGCACCATTGTTGTGGAAGATACTTCACATTCTGAGCACCAACAAGAAGCTTGTTTTGACCCTGACCTGAAAGATCCATAGGAAACTTGGGTTGCCCATCATACCTGAAAATCCCCCAGTGACGCTCAAAGTTTCCTGGAGCAACACTCTTAGCATCTTCATCAATGAGTCCAAACAGATAGACCTCTATATATCCAGGATGACGTGGCGTGCCCTTATTGGCAGCAAGCCTAGGCAGAAGGCCATTGTAAAATCTAAAGGCATTGCCTGCGTTTGCATTCTTGTCTCCATCTGTGGGCCACCCTACTTCTCCTACCAAAACGGGCATAGTCCCAAGCCCTACTGCAGTTAGAGCAGAAACCAATGTGTCAAAGTTAGCGTCAAAAACGTTGGTGTATTGAATTCCATTGTCGTTTATGGGATTGGTTACCCCATCAAAGAAGGCATAGTTAAACGGGAAATCATCATTCCCATAAAGGCTTAAGAAGGGGTAGATGTTGACTGTGAATGGTGCTCCATTCTTATTGAGGAATTGGCTTATTTGGGTCATAAGATCATTTATGTCTGCCCTGAATCTACCAGCAGATGGAACTGGGTTGTTTACTGGAGACTCATACACATCGGCATTCAAGGGCACGGTCGCCTTTATGGTGTCTCCATGGCCAGCTTCGTTTAGGGCATTTTGGATGTTCTGCAGTGCTGGTAAAGTGATGTTCAAGAATGAATTGTTGTAGGATTTCAAAAATGGCTCGTTCCCTACTGCTACATACCTGTGATGAATTCCACATCAATATTTAGATAAACGAAGCTTTGAGCACGATATTATTATCATCTGATCAAAACTAATAAACCGAATACCTAACACCAACAAACAGCTGAAACGACTGGCCACAAAAAAGAAGGTACAACAGGTGTTTCTGTACATGTTAATGCATGCCTTCTGCAGATTGTAGGCAAACATGATTTAAGAAGATTTCTTTTGGCTACATCATGCTTTAAGAGTTAATCCAATGGTCCAATCCGAAGACTCTCATTTCAAATATATTTCTTTTCAGTCTTCAGGCTCAAGGAAAGTTACTACAACTACAAGGAGTCACGACGACCGAAAGAAATACGCGCTGTCTAATTCTGGATATTTATTGCCTAGCATATAATAGAGAACATGGGTTTACCTTTTCAAAAAGGAAAAGTAAAGATACAGCATGGGTTTACTTTCTGTGTGAGCATTCTTCCACATTTTTCTTTAAGAAAAGATAATATTTTATCATTATAATTTCATTAGGTTTTGTTTTTAATATTTATAGTTTTTTTTTTATGTTTTCAATCTTTATAATTTTCAAAAAATTAGGTGACATTTATTTTTTAAATCCTCATAATTTTCATTTTTTTTAATAGTTTTAACCTTTACATGAATTGAAAACACTGAAAAAAAAAAAAACACAGATTAAATACAAAATCCGATGACATTATAGAGATTAAAGATTACGTTTTTTTTTTTTTTTTCCTTTGCCCCTTAACTTTTCACCAAATAAGCATGATAAATTTTTTTTAAAAACCTTTTGCTCTTCATTGTGGGATTGCTGTCTTCTCCTACTAAAATTCTCAGGCCAATGGTTTATGGTATTTGACGACATAGTTAAACCCTCGAATTATTCCATTAGGAAAAGTGAAAGCCAAAAAAGTAGGTAGTCGGACAAGAATCTTTTAGAAATTTTAAAATGTCAAGGATTTGGTATCAAATGCGCTCCCAATTTCAAAAATTGAACTACGACCAGATGCAGAACCCAGAATCAAGACGGGAGAAAGAAAAATTATAGCTGGTTTTAGAACCGATTAGTTGTTTTCATAAGTCATAACCACTGCAAACTTTCATGAGTCGAGATGCCCCACATCCATTATTGCGATCAGAATAGAAATAGAAATAAATCTGCGCTATTGTCGGCATAAATAAAAAGTTGTAAAATGAGTTAACTCACTTGATGTTGACACCTCCGTTGAAGTGGTAACGCGTGACATTCTTCCGAACCCACTGTTTGGCCCTATCATAGTTATTCATGGGAGCGAGCTGATTATTGGGAATGGCGACCATGACTTCAATATTAGTCCCAGCCAGAGCACTCATGGTGGACTCATCTGCATCGAACAGTTTCACTTTCTGAATCCCGTTGTCTTTCAGCATCTGAACCACCGTGTCCGGCGGCAATTTATGCGTTGCCTGAGTTCCCCAGTTCACCCCAAGCCCTTCAACATCCCAACTCATGATCCCCACTGCCACAATCCACTTCAAAATCCAAAATTTCCCCATCCTCCAGAAAGTTCTTCCCCGAGAGATGACGGCAATTTTACCAGGACAAAACGGCCAGGAAAAAACAACCGTGATGCAAACAAACAAAGTGAGAAAATGATCAGAAAGGTGATTAGGAATATATATATCTATATAAGTTCAGTTCAAGATATCTCAACAGAAACAGGGGACGAGGAACCGAGGAGGCAGATTGATTTTTGGATATAAACAGAAATAGCATCAAGAGAAAGAATAGAAGCCGAAGGAGGGAGAGGAATGAAAATCAGAAGAATCAAGAAACTTGCGAAGGGGAAGATGAAGAGGGAAGATAGAGACTGAAAAAATTTCTTCAGAGGGCAAGAACAAATACTGCCCCCACGATCAAATGAGGAATGGAGACCCGATATTATTTTTTATTTTGAAATGAATGGGATGGACGCACCCAGATCGAATCAAGGTTCAGGGAAAGTCCAACGGCCACAATTAAACAAGGTTTTGAGTTTCAGGAGCTTGTGACAGGACTTTATAGCAAAACTCAAAGTTTGATGTTTTCATGAAAAAAGATTAAATTAGATAACTTGTGGCCTTGATCTTAATATAATCCAAAGTTAAATAGGTCGAGAACAAACTAAAAGACTGATCCTGATTTTATCTAATATCTCACTTTTTTTTTTCACTTTTTTATCTAAAAAGCATCAATTTATTTTAACATAATAAAATTAATTAACATAATAAACTCATTACTAGTCATATAAGATTTATCACAACAACAACAGTCATAGATCTACAATAATAATAAAAAGTATTTCAATTATAATACAAAAAATTCAAATTAAATAACATTAAATAATCTTCAATATGTCTAAAATCAATTGTATCAAGTTAATAACAAATCACTAATAAAAAGAGAAGACTTAAATTGATCAATGATGAAACTTTGCTCAATATCTATGATTTTATAAGTATAAAACATAAAATTATTAATTATTATTATAAATTATAATAATAATTAATAAATTAATTATAATTATATTAAATAAATTTATGAGATCGAACCAAAGTAAGTGGTTGAGATGTTAAGTTTCTTATTCAATCCAACACAAAAAAAAAAAGTCTATCTTGTTAATTTTAATAGATCAATTTATATTCAGACTGGATTAAATTGAATCGGACAGGATCAAAGAACTTTTTACACAATCCTAGGGACTAAGCAGTGCCAAAGCTCAATTTTTTTATTCTTTCAAAAAAAACAGAGAGAGAGAGAGAGAGTGAATAAGATGGGGAAAAATGAAATAAGCATGGAAGTTGGTGCAGGGGCCGCTGATTTCTACAAGGTAAAGTAAATAAAAAGGACTCGGGCCAGAAATCAGACTCTTGTATTGGTTAATTGATTAAGTGATTATTATATCGAAAATGGATGATGACGTTTCACGTTCGGATCTGATCCAAGGCTAGCGTTAATCCTCTCTCTCTCTCTCTCTGGCCATCCAAGGCTACCGTTAATCGATGAAAAAAGTAGCATTCATTTGATTTGGTTGTATGAAATGTTTCGTTTAAATTGAGCCTGCCCCTTTCGGGAGTGACCGACTCCATCTGAGGCCTCACATAGAACTACATCAATATATATTGTGGGTTTGGCTTTATTTTTAATGAACTAAGAAATGAACGACATGACAGAAAATATATTTTTATTTTTTGTGATTTTTAACTGACAATATATAGTCCCTCCCTCCCTCCTAAGTTATAAATTTTTAGATAAAATATCACATACTAGTACCACACTTAACAACATTATTCTTTCACAGTAAAAATATAAACTTTTAAAAATATTATTTATTTAATATATTAAAAAGAAGGCAGGATAAAAAATAAATAAAGACAAAAAAGATAATAATAAAATAAATTTATTTAACAAAATTCTAACTTATTAAATTATTCTATATTTTAAGATATCAAATCTCTTTTAAAAATATCTTATAATTATTTGGATCAGGCAGTATAATAATAATTTGCCTCCAACAACACCTGTGAACATGAAGTTAGGGATTGCCGGGGTCTTTACCAGCATGGACGGCGCAGAGTAGCATGTGTTTGTCTCCCCAATGCCCGCTTCTCACTTCTCAACAATTTCATTCACGTTCTTCCATATGGTTAGAAATCTGATCAGCCTCGTTCAGTAGTGGTACTAGTATCAATTATAGAAAAATGCTTTTTATTATTTTATAAAATATTTATTATATTTTTATAATTTATATTTTTTCTTCACTTTTTAACTAGACGCTTCTTTTACTGAAAAATATAGGTTCACTTGCTCCCTGTACATTTTATTGGTTCTGAATCGGCAATCCACACCGCCTTCAGAGTGCGAAATATGAGCTGCATCTGATTTGCTGGTTCAAACTGAAACATATTTTAGCATCTGAAATAGTCTTGCTATCTCTTTATCTCTATATTATGAGATTCTATTAATCACTGGAATTTGTTTCCTAGTTATGTTGGCTTTTAGAAGACCTCATTTTTTATGGCTTTATTTTTTAACTTACAGCTTGGACGCAAGAGAAAAATAATATACGGACACAAGGAACTGAGCAGCTGAGATGATTTGAAAACAATTAAAGCTGATAACTGCATATTTATATTGGGAGGGAGGGCATGTGGGATCCAATCCAAGTCATGCATCTTTCCACCGGGTCTCAATAAATCACTGTCGACTTGCCTCTTTCGTCCAATAGAATATGAGCATTTGGGGAACAAAAAGATAATTTCACCTTTTTTAAATTTTTTTTCTATGTTGAAAATAATTGGAATACATCTTTCAAGTAAATTAAAAAATAATAATTTGATCTCACTCGTTTGCTCAGTTGTGTGATTTGATTTGTTCTTTTATTGAAAACCTTTTCATCCAATGACATCATGTTATTATAATTATTTATTTTTAAAATATCAGCCAGAGGGTAGGAGAATAACAAGGAGTTGGTTGGGCCACGAAGAAGACTGGTGATTTAACCTTCATGCATCAAGCACTCACAAAGCAATCATTTAGATAGAAGACTAGCAATTTCTTTTCACCCCAGCTTTCAAAGAGCTCATGAGAAGGTCTCAGCATCAAGATAAGATTTCTTTGGCATCCTGGCCCTGTTCTCCAACTAAGAAAAACAAATTAATGCATCAAAAATATTATCTAGAAAAAAAATGAGAAACAGAACATAGCTATCTTATTTTGTTAAGTACATTTCAAAGTTTTTTTTTCTAAAAAATACTTTTTTCACATATCAAGCATACTAAAAAAAAAAAAATACTACTGAGGTATTATGCCTGATAATAATGTACAAGGGTCCCACCACAAGGCCAAACCTTATAAATAAATAAGCAAAGCTTGCAATCTGATATCATTTTGATTGCACACTGCACGCTACCCCGCCTCACCTCCTCATCTATACACCACAAGAGAGATCCACCTTATCCTTTGGCTTTCCTTGCTTACTAGCCAAGCTTCCAAAGCTTTTTTTTTTTTTTTTGGGACATAAAGTTTAGATGGAATAACTCACCAAGATTAAGACATGCCTCTAAACTCAAAGAACACTTGCAAAGACACTTATAGTCCTCACATTAACATCAAAATTTGATCTCACGACCTTGTGAATTATGAGCCAAATCATAACCAACTGGGCTAACTTTTGTTGGCCAAGCTTCCAAAGTTGAATGTCCTCAACCACACCTACATATAAACAGCGACGGGGACACGCGAATTTTCCAGCAAGAGGGATCCAACTTTGTGCACATCAAAATGACAAAAACATTATCAATATATATATATATGACCAAAAAAAAACTGCTAATGACGCCAGCAGTCACCTATAAATAAAACAAGACGTTTAAATACTTAATCATTCACAATCAACATTACTTGCCAAGTATGAAATCAAGAAGCAAGCTAAAGCTAAAGGGAATGCAAAAGAATGCCAAAACAGGGCCAGGATGCCAAAACAAGAAAGCAAAAGAATTAACAAGGTTAAAGGGAATGCAACAATGTACACATACGCTTAAAGCTAAAGGGAAAACATCATGAATGTTATCAATGGAGGACATAATCTAACGCGCAATCAACAAATCAGCAAGGTTAACCAATAAAAAAAATTTCCTAAACAGAATGCTCATTGACCTTGTCTTTACGGGCAGTGGTGTATTAGTTACAAACAAACTAAATTAGTCTCTATAAAGCTCAATCATTACACATTGGGAAAATGGGTTTGCTAAAAAATAGACTTCTGACAATCACAACTCACCAGGAAGATAAGATGATTTAATATCAAGTGTTACTCCAACATGAAAAAGTTGACCTGATGTCTTTCAAAAGCCGGGTGCAAACCCATCACAATGAATTTCAGTTTCAACGAGCATCTCAACCAATAATACGACCTTCCCTCCCATTATACAACAAATATATTATTTATAATTATAACTAGGTATAATACGTCTCACCTAATTAGTTTATTTATTCCCATGCTCTCTGCAAGCTCGTTTTGGTCCCAGCTCATTCTATTCCCATAACTTTCTGACACCCGTATCTGGATGTTGTTATGTAAGAAAAATGTTCGGAAATGTAGTAACAACTAATAACATTTTTCCTTCAAACTTCATACATGGTTTATTTAGAATCAGGTGATACCGGTTCATCTGATAAAAACGACAGAGAATACAATAAGACACCAAATTACCAGATGGCATCGTCTACAAAACTTCTATACACTAAGCTCGTCTTCAAGATAATTATACTCAAATGTGAACTCGGTCTTGATTCTTTGACACCTGAATAACGAAAGGGTAAAGAAAAGTGAGAACAGTATTACAGTTTTACATTCGTCGACTGAAAAAGAAAGGCAAAATTTCAAAATCCAAACGGTCATATTCTTTCACATGGCCAGATATGTTTCCAGATTAGTGAGTCGTGCATAACATCAACCAAAAAAAAAAAAAAGGGCAATGACTGCCTCCATATCCAATTGCAAAATCAATGATAGGATATGCAAGAGCCCCATGGATAAAAAACAACAGAGCCAAGTGCTTATCATGGTTCAGAAACTAGACAATAAGATATCATTGTGTCCAGCCAACAATTCAACCGATCAAAGATCGGATTTAATCTGCCCCAGCAAAATAGCCCTCAAACATTAACTGATCAGCCAATAAGAGCAATAGAGAATATGAAGTTGCCATGATACTGTAGGAATATAGAACCAATTTTTCCCTTCCTTTTTGGCCAGAAGAGAATTTCAGGCTCTTTGAACATATGCAAGTCCTTCGAAAGTAGCTATCATAGCCTTGCAGGCCAGGCTATACTATATCTCACTGTGAAGAACTTTGAAGTTTATGCCTAATGCAACATGATATTCAATCATTGAAAATTTCCCAAAATCTAAGAATATGTACAACAGTAGGTTGACTCATAATCAATCTTCAAAACACAGAAGTTAAACTAAAAAAGTCAAACACTGGTCAACATTGGTGCACATATATACGCAATAATCATGACTGTAAACAACTAGAGCTAAAAAGTTGATTGAGCATACCACCCATGTTGCAGGTCATCATTTGCAACATGAAAATCGAAGTATACATATGTTCCCTGCTCAAATTCATCTGTAGCGACTTTTGGCTCTTCATGTCTCTGAAACCATGTGTTATATTTTCTGTGATATCTCCAAGACTGCTTCTTTAGTTCTTTTGCAGCCAAATATTGTTGGTA